GCCCCTTGTTTGGTCACCCCCCAAAAAACAGACGCCAACAAATGGGTTTCAACTTGTGGTTTCCTTTTCAAGTTGTTTTGGTCTTCAACTTTTGGTTTCCCTTCACACACCCCCGAAGAATGGGTAGCAACTCAAACGGCGAAGCCAGGCTCCCTCTCCCAAGGAACAACCCGGTCCCTGGAGTTCTTCTGCGTTTGTCTCAACGAGAAATTCGTGGGGTCCTGTTGGTTTTGCTTAGCCAACAGGGGGACCCAAAAACAGGAGATGGCCATTGGTTTGTCTTTGAGGGTAACCTTTCTGGGCGAAAAGAACACCACAAGGAAGCCGATCTTTTACACTCTTTTGTTTGGTGGGTTATCTATGATTTGGAGACACGCCAATTTGGTGCCAACTCTTTTGCATTGAGCAAAGTCAAGTGCACTTTTCAGACTTGTTTTGACGATCATTTCCAGATCTCCGGACGGGGTGAAAGTAGGGGCATCATTCCCTCGTCTTGGTTGAGTGATCCCCTTTACTTGGTGTTTCTCGAAATTGGGGTCCTTATGTTGGATGGGTTTAAAGGGAAGCCAAAAGACGCGGGGCCCATTCTGGGCCACATTGAGAAACAAGCGGGATGGCTCTTTGGCACTTTCCATCCTGTCTAAAAGCGGGGGGAGCTCCCAAAGAGGGCTTCCCTTTAAAGACAGCCCCTAACCGGGTTGTGGGATCAAGGGATTGAACGCCCCACTTCTTTGATCAAAGGGAATGAGCAATCTCGTCTTTAAGCCCTTGCTGTTGTCGGCGGCCCCCAAGCTTGGGGGCTCCCTTCAGCTTCCCAGACGCGCTTGGAAGAGCATCATGCCTCCCTGGGGGAGCGCGTGGATTACCTCGAGAAGGCCACGGGCCGGAAGCGATTTCAGCCGTGCCATGGGCAAAGGCCCCGCTTGAAGACTTGGACAACTTGGTCCCCCAGCGGTGCCCTTCTCTCCCTTTTTTGGGGGGAGGGTTCCCCTACTAAAATAGACTACAAGAAAAAAAGGCACCCCTATTCTAACCTCTCTACTGGAGGACCTAGACAACTTGGGATGGTGAGGAACCTCTTGTTTTGAAACGGGACGGTGGTGCTGAAGCAGGTTTTCTACCACGGTGACCCGTGTTGACCATTACGGTCGGGAGGCTTGATGCACGCCCTTCCACATTTGGCTTTGTCCGTTTTTGGGACCCCACTGTCCGGGTTGAACAGAATATCACCCATTTGAGGGGTCCTCCATTTTAAGACGTCCTCCATTGGTCACAGCCGACACTACAGCATCATCGCTCGGTTGGTTTCTGCCGATCTAGTCGCGGGCTCAAGAGGCATGGGCGGAATTTCGCTCTGTCATCAACCTCGTGCATACCCCCAAAGTGATCCGGATTCCCTCTTGCACGCTACGCCAATCAAAATCAACCCAGGTATTCATGAATTCTGGGTTCCCATCATCAAGAAAGCACATGGCTATGAATGTCAACAGGGAAGGCTCTGAAAAGTGGTTGGTGGACACAAATGCCCACCGAGTTTAAAGTCCCAAGGGTCAACTCGAATTCATGCATCAAAGACCGGTTTTGGAAACTCTGTTCATTTGGGGCCATTTGGGTGTGGGTCAATATTAAGCTACCAGGAATTGGACCGCAGGTTTTAGTCTTTGGTTCCATTTCCCGCCCACAGACCAAAATGTCACCTTGGGGAATGGAAGACTGAAAGCTGCGTAACCCAGCTGCTCTTCAATTTTGACCGGGGGATCCCCATTTTTTCCGCGTCTCGTCTTCATTGCGCCCCGTCTCGCGCAGGCGCTGGGCGACTCGGCAGACCGGCATGCCCTGGAGATGGCCTCAGCGCACAGCTGCTGCCTCAAATCGAGTGAGGGTCGATGCGTCGATGTGCCCAGTTTTTGGGGAAGGAAAAGAGAAAGGGGCCAAAGAAAGCGGAAAAGAACCAGAAGGGGTGCACCCATTTTGGAATTTTTCATGTTGAAATCAGATCCCCAGCAACACCCGATCTCAAAAGAAACCGGGTCAGCGTCTAAAAGTGTCTGCCGGGTCAAAGGAGAAATATGGAACCCTGCAAGGGCAGTGCGCGGGGTGAAAACAAGGTATCACAGCGGGAAGCTGGATGGGCTTCCTTGCCGGTGATGCTTTGAACCGGAAAGCATCTTTGTAGCTGTGTCGATGCGACCGAGGCAAGCTTGCCGCACTGCACTCTCGGCTGGGTGACGAGAAGGAGGCTGGATGCAATCCATTGCTTTGTGCAGCTGCCTGCATGGCTCTTGGGAGGGCGTGATCATTTTTCTGATTTCTGTTCGGCGCCCTAACTGGCACCTTCTCGGTTTCGCCAAGTTGTGGCCGCACAAGTGCAACTTGGTGTGGCTGGCATGTGAGACAAATATGGGAGGGGATTCGCAAGAAAGCGGACCCCCTTTGGGATGGTTTTACAGAGGGTATACAAAGAAACAGGCCATGTTAGTCTGTTAGTCTTTGCAGTGCTGTCATTGGTTTGACTGTTCTGGGGTTTGTCAAACATATTTTTGACCCACAGCCAAATGGGAGAAGAGGAGGAAGAAGCTGACGATGCCGTGGAAGTAGCACCTTTGCAAGGCGCGGGAGAGGCATGCGAGCAACACCACGGAGAACATTGTGAAAGAGCGCAGCACCCGCGAGACGCACCACTCCTCTTTGGAGGACGCCTTTGCAAGATCCGCTGGCTTGAACATTGTGTTATTATCATTATTGTTATTAATAGTATGGTTATTATGAGTATTGTTATCATTCTTCTTGTTGACAGATTCAACAAGATGCTTGCTTGATCGCGTTTGGGTTCATTGAATCTCATCAATCTGTGCCTTCTGTCTCGGGGCTGTATGGGCCGCAGTTCCGGTCCACCCCGGGAATTCGGTTGGATTTGTTGGTGAGCCCCTCAACAGGTGCACATCTCCGGCCTTGTCCATTTCCCATGAAGTTCAAAGGGGTTGGGTTTAGTGTTCCAGGAGCGGCTCACCTACTTGGAGACCTATCTGGGGGAATCTGCCGACAAGCAGGCCAGATGGCTTCCATGCTATGACTTTCAGGATGCTTTGATGAAACCCCAGGATGTATAAACCTTTGGTGGATGCACGTGGCTGTGGGTCAAAACAGGTGGGATCCCATTTTGGGGTACACTCATTTTAGTACCTGTTTTAGTCACGTCTTCTTTGAATGGGCCTTCCCTTTGGATCACTTTGTGGGGCTGTTGCGAACCCCGAATCCGCTGGTCGCAGAATTCACGCTACATACCCCGCCATTTGGACGTGATTGTTGCACAGGACAATGTGCCGACAATGTCTGCAAAGTTTGGGAAGTGCTTTTGACGTACTTGCAGCCGCTAAAATGAGACAGCAACTGCTTCGAAACATTTGGTCAACACAGAGTCCAAGACTTGGGAGTTTTTTTTGGATTTGTCTACAATACATGCAGTTTCCAGGGCAGCTTGCAGCTGGCCATGTATTTATGAAGGCGTTTGCACTGAATAAATCAGCTGATGGTTTCTATGGTAAACAACAGCCCAAATTACAGGGAATGAGATGGGGCCTGCGGCGCCAACACACACACACACACCAAACTGGGGGGGAGCTGAACAATGAACATTGCCCGTGGCTCATATGTGCCATGCTCAAAACATGGGGTTGGTAAGCATGGTCATCAAGCCCCGTGAGGATTTTAGTTAGACAGCCATGACAAGGGCTCCTTTTTTTCGGAGCTGTGTCCTTTTAAATCCAGTGGCAGTCTCCCTGGGGGTCAGGCTCTCGCATGCCACCAGGTTTTGGAGGTCTCGTTCTTGTGGCAATAGGCAGCCTTTGCACCCTGGTTTGCAACGGACACCACAAGGACCACCGACATCCATCTTGGGGCCAAAAGCAGGGTCCTTCTTTGGGACGAAATTTTATGAGCAAATGAAAAGGAAAGCAACCACCTGAAGGAGTCCTTAGTTTTGAGGCCCTTTTACCCTTTTTTGGGGGAGGGTTCCCCTACTAAAATAGACGTGCAGAAAAAAGCTTGGTACCCTTACGCTAACCTCTCTACTGGAGGGGTCCTTAGCTTTGAGAGTCGCCCATATCCCCTCTTGGAACATGGATCCAGCGGAACCTGAGGGGAAGAGCTCTGTGGCCAGCCGATTCGAACAGCCGCTTGGACTGGAAGCCTCGTCTCTCAGTGAAGACGCGATACCTGGGGTCTACCCCCCCGCACATGATGAAAAGCCGGGAATATGCGCAGGGACCAAACTATACCTTCTCTTCATCTACCCGTTTTGATTGAAGAGCATGCTCAAAGCAAGTACTCCCAAAAAACCAATCATGAAACCCGAAAGGGAACCCCTCAACCACACTGTGCTGCTTTGAGTTGAACGTCTCTGCTTTACCGGCTGTGCTTCGATTCGTCAATTTCACTTGCAGGACCCAATGGTGACCCAATGGTGACCCAATGGTGCCTCTGATCTCGACCTAGAAAGTTTGGCACCTGGAACCTGACGGGCAGCTCCTGGACGACCATTTTCCTCAGGAAATCTGTGGTCTCCAAGTTGGGTACTTCCAAGTATGTTGACATGGCTGTGGCTGAAAAAAATGGTACGGGTCCAAACTGGCTTTTTGGTGAATGCAAGCAAAGACCAACACCTGTGACCCTGACTCCTTCCACACCCACATAGGCATCCAAGGCCTAGCCATGCAAAGGCGGTCGACGGTCGCCTGGGTGTAGCCCGCGTATCTCCTTTCAAAGCTTCGCAGACTTAGGAAGCTGAAGTCCGAGATCTTCGACTTGCGGGAGCTTATCAACAACGAACGCCAGATGCGCTCCCGACAGGCTCTAGAGCATTGTCGCCGATGTTGTTTGCCTTTCACTTTTCGGGGTTGCGCTAGCAACCATTGGCTACCCCGAGTAGACGTAGGACAGTCTTACCTGGGGTAGGCTTGGTCCATGAACAGGGATTTAGACAACCATAGTAAGGACTTCAGGGGTACTACGACCATTGTTTGCCTGAGGGTTGATCATGGCACATCTGGTCTTGACTCTTGGCTTCGCCACACTGCTTGCGTCACGCTGGCACCCATCTAGACAACATCCAATAGCCTGTGGCACTCTGTTAGCCTTCTGTTTGTACTTTTCGCAGGGATTCCATTGGGCATCAACGGCCCCGGGAACCCAGGACTTGCAACAATGTTGAAGAAAGTCCTTTGGCATGTAGTGCTTGGAGCCAACATATGCGCATTGATCAACATGCTTTGGGGCTTTCCTATGGAAGCAAGGCTTGACGGACTGGCGACGGGAGGATTTCAGAGCGACGACGCTCTCGAACCAAGCACGCCTTTTCCGTCCCATGTCACAGGCAATCGATGTGCACGCGAACACACACCCAGATCAAAACCTATGCATATACATCTTCATGTCTATGCCTATGTCTACAAATACACTATGTGCACTTCGCGTCCCTTTGAACCCATCTGAGAAGTTGGTAGCCTTAACGTGGTTGGGGGCTGTTCGCTACTCACTTACCCGGGTTTTGGCTGACTCTGAGTTTCAAGAGGGAACCACCTCCGAAGAGGCATCCGAAATGCGGTCCGCAGGGTCTTTGATCAAAATTCCTACACCCATTCGGGTGTAAAGGAATTGCGCTCATGTTTCCTTTTGGGCGACGCATTCCCCCACCAAAATTTGAGTGTAAAGGAATTGCAACCACGCCACGGTTGGGTTCATTTTTTGAGCCGCCACGCAGCCCTGGAGTTTTCTGAGCCCCGGTTGACTTGTAGGGTGAGGCGATCACCGAGCACCTGGAGGCCGAGAAGCGGGCCCGCGAGGCGCGCGGAGGGTTGTTCGGAGGTCTCGAAAAATGAGGCGCCGCTGCTCAAAATGGGTATACCTGTCAAAACTACCCAAAATGGGTTGCCCTAAATGGGCACAAGGGCTAAAACCAGCGGTGTTTTTGTGGTTGAATTTTGACCCAAAATGAGGTCCGAAAGCCCCAAGTTTCAGGGGACCTTAGATTCGTTTCCTTGAAGCGCCTTTTTTCGGCCGAACCATGCAAGAGTTTTGGTGATTTTTCCGTGTGAAAAAGTAGGAACCTGTGAACACTAGCTTTTCTTATATATATATATATATATATACATAGGGAACAGGACCAAAGGCTCACCTTTGAGTTTCCCCTCATTTTCCCTTGCCTGCATACAAGTGCGGAATGGTTGAACAAGCCTTGCGGATGAACAAGGGCTTGATTCATCCTGGGCTCCTATTTTCTCGTGGGTTGGATTCTATGCTTGCCTTATACAAAAACAGTTGGAATTGTCCCATTTCTTTGGCCCTCGATCTGTCAAGCCCCTTGGTGAAGGTGCCCCTCACATCCAAAACACCACCAAGAAGGGGCAAGGTTCTTCTGCAACCACGGGTCTCTTAGCTGAGATTCCAATGAGGTATGGTGGATGTTTCTGCCATATTGCAAGCAAACCAAGCGCCAGCCATTGTTGAATTCATATGGCAGGGCAATCATCCAAGCTGCTTCCCAGCGCATGGCCCATTGGCATGTCAGTCGTCTGCTCGCAAGCTTAGCGAGCCCCATTCTTTTCGCATTGTCTTTTGGGGTCTCTCTTTGTTTGGGTTCAATGTTAATTTGGGGTTGAACAAGGGAACAAGTTGGGCACCCTGTAAGTTCAACAATGTTTTGCTTCTTTTTTTGTTTACATAACTGTAAACACTCTTTTGGTCAGCTTCCCTCTAATTGGTGGTTTGGATTGGTGCTTTGGCGGTCAAGGGCTTCCCCATGTACCTTCCACAAGAACGGGTTCAAATCCCAGTTCCCACCACTCCAAGCCAATTCGGGGGCTGCTTTGGTTCGTTGCAACGGGCTGCTACTCTCCCTTTTTTGGGGGGAGGGCGTTACTACTAAACTAGACAACAGACAGAAGAAAAAACAAATCGGGTACCAACTTCTTCCAACCTGAGTGCTCCGGAAAAAAGAGAAGAAAACAACAACGCCAACCCGCCTCACAAGTTGTGTAAGTCCAGGCCCTGGAGGAGGCGGTGGCCCACCACATGGCCAACCACAAGCAGAGCATGGAGGCCGCTTCCGGCCGGGCGCTCTTTTTGTTCCGTTTCTTTTTTTTCTTCTCTCCCTTTTTTTCTTCCCCGTTTTTTTTTCTTTCTCCGTTTGTTTTTTTTCTCCGGTTTCCCCCTTTATTTATTTATTGTTTTTTCGGCGCGAGGTTTCCGGATGGATGGGGTCCGGAAAGCAGAAGAACCCCCGGGGGGGAGGGCGGGTTTTTCTTCTGAAGATTTTGTTGGTGGTTTTCTCGGGAAGCTGGATGGAGACACTCCTTCCCATTTGTACTTGTTGGGGTCCCAACGTGTTTTTTTTTGGGATGTTGGGGATGCTTGGTTGAAATGTTTTGGGTTCCCCAAAGAGTCTCTGTTCAAAATTCATCCAGAAGTTCCTGGCAGGATATGGAAAACGTATACGAGATCCCAGCCATTTTGAACAGCCCATGGGGTCAAGCGAGCGCTTTTGCGACGGTTTCGGTACTTTGGGTCCTAGGGGCACGAAAGCGCGCCGGCCACGGTCCCCCAGCGATTGGTGCCCTTTGACCGTCCCCATTTTTGGTTGGGAGGGCTCACTAAATAAACTACAGAAAAAAAAACATCGGGTACCCTTATTCTAACCTCTCTACTGGAGGACCTTGTTGTTGTTTCTCTAGGTTGGAGCTACACACACACACACACACTTTCTACCGTTCTTCTTCTGAGACTGCTATTTCTCGTGGAATTCCGTGCATGGTCTACTGCAAAAAAAGCTGCTCTGCTTGGCTGTTGTCGCTTGTTGCAGAAAACCGGACCCGTAACGCAACAATTGCTACTACAAACCAAAGAGGGTCCGTGACCTTGCGTGAGTTCCTCGCTAATGTCCTGTTGCTGGCCCGTGTGTGTAGATGGGTATCCCGCACCGTGCCAAATGGTGTGTGTGTGTGTGTGTGTTTTGATGGAGGGTAGCATTTTGAGGTTGGTTCAAAGGGAAATCAGTAGGAAATCAGTAAGAAAGGAGTAGGACTGTGACATCAGTAGAAAATGAGTAGATTTTGAGGCTTCCCTTGTTTTTGGCACGTATCGAAGTGCAGGGAGACATGGGAGACACGCTGATGGGACTTCCAATCGTCAGGAAGAAAGAACAATGGGGCAAAATTAAACCACCAGGAATTGGACGGCGAGGTTTAGTCCACATTTCCATTTACCAGGGCAACCCATTTTGGGGTTACCCTATCTTTGCCCCACAGCCAACTACTGGGAGCTGCTGTCGGGACGTTTCTGAACTTTGGCGAGCGACGTCGGCGATGCAGAACCACGAGAAGCGGGTGAAGGAGCAGTTCGGCCACGAGCGCACGGCGCGGGAGCGGCACTTCGACCATGTGGAGGCGAGAGCGCGCAGCGCGCTTCGGTTGTTGTCGGTCAATTTGGTGGGTGGGTGGGTGGGTGGGTGGGTTGGGTTGGGTTGGGTTGGGTTGGGTGGATAGGTGGGTGGTGGCTGGCGCGCGGTTTTGGTTGGCTTCAGCTTTGGCTTCTGAGTCGAAATCACAACCCGGACAATTGGAGGGTAGGGAGAAATGGCCACGGACATCCGCCTATTTCTGTACATGGATTAGGGCAGGAATTTGATTCCAGGCTTTGACTTTGACTCGCTTAACATTTCTTTTGCTTGATACGGTAGGTGAATCTGCGGGTTTCGCACATGTAAAACGCATGTAAAACGCATGCTCTGCTTTCGGAGCTGCAAGCCTGTTTGCATGTTTGTGCAATCTTTGCATCATGGCAGAACGGAATGTTCTCCTGGTCATGGGTCTACATACGTTGGGTCAACGTGACCATTTGTCTAAATATCATTCTGTTGTAAGAAGGCCAGGGGGCAATCTTTTTGCCAAGGCCAAAGTTGCCCAACTGCAGACAGAAATCTTGTAGATGCAGCCAAACCTTTGTTGCCAGTCGCAAGTAAATGCGTGTTTGAACTCATGACATACCAACTTCATGGTCATGCCATCGGCCCATGTTGGGCGCTTCGCAAACTTGCTAGTGCGATAAGCAATAAATGAGAAATGGAATGATCCTGAATTCTTCCCTCATTCCCTACTGAGCACCCATCTCTTGCGGTGTCCTTTTTGTTCAGGGAACCCCCTTAACCGGTTCATCCCCCGCGGTTTCCCTTCTTTTCAGGGAATCCCCTTAACTGGATCAAATCCCATTTGGCTGTGGGTTAAAAATGAGTACCCAAAGGTTGCAAAGGTAAATGGAGCCAAGGACTAGCACCTGCGGTCCAATTTCTGGGGGCTAAATTTTGACCCATACCCAAATTTGGACGACTTCGCCCATCTCTTTTCTGCCATCCGCTGCGGTTTCCATGAATGGAACCCCCTGAGGCTTTGGTGCGCCAAGAGAAGGAGGCGCGGAGTCAGCACCACGAGACACACTCCGCGGCCTGGATTGCAAGGTTGGAGTGGCGAAGGAATCCAAGACATCCGAAGTTCCCTGCAATTCAATTGAAAAGGAGCAGCGGATACAACAGTTGAGCCACTTGCTCAAAACCCGGGGATTGATGAAGGTTAGGCAGGGACAATCCCAACCATAAATAGCTGCGGATATCCGCCTTCTTACTTCTTTACATGGGTTCTGGGTCGACCATTTTAAATACCGGGTTTTGATTACTCAGTTGGCAAAATTGATTAGGACTTGAAGGACACAGTTTGATGCGATGTTTTTTTCGGCATCACATTGGCCAGTTGAGGTGTTTGTTGCGACTCCGGATCTAGACATTTGGTCAGCGGGTTTCTTTGAGTTCGCTTTAAGGACCAAAGGTCTGCCCGATCTTTGGAGCCACCTATGGAAAGCTGGGGTCTCCAAACATATGGGAAACATAGGGTGGACCAAAAATGAAGCAGAGTCAGAGAATCTTATTGTACTAGCTGTACCTTCCCCATTCTCTGCAAGGATGCATCTCTTCAGAAAATGGGCCAAACCCTGAGAAAATGGGTGGTTTCTAAAGAGAGCGATGGGTGAAGAGAATGGATAATCAATCCTTAGAGTTGCAGAAGTTCCATTGGGCCAAGGAAGGGAGGAACCATCTATGGCCAAGAATGAGAGCCAACATTGCCCCCCCAATAAAAGCCTTCTAAGCCATTTTCAATTTGTGTTTTTGTTTGATTGAGTCAACATTGAAATGGGTATGTATTTGAGAATGGGGACCCTTGGGTTCCCCTACTAAAATAGACTGCAGAAAAAAAGGGTACCCTTTTTCAGCCTTATTCTAACCTCTCTGCTGGAGGACCTAGATGGGATTAATGTTCAACAACCCGCCTTTGGAGGTGGTTCCCTCGTTCAAACTGAAGGCAGCGATCGCCGCAGGACTTGAGTAGGGGCCTTTGGTTTGCCTCCATTTTTCTTGTCGCCCACATCCTTATTTGGGGAGTCTTTTTTCTTTCTTTCCACTCTTTCACGATAGGGACCTTTGGTTTGTCTCTGTGTGTTCGCGTTCTTTTCCCTCGTTGGGGATGGCTGCAGGTTTTTGTTTGCGATTTCGCCTGTCATTTTGGACACGTTCTCAGCAGGGCGTCAGTATTCAGGTGATGCTGTTGATGCTGAGGATGCAGGGATGCTGGATAGGGCTCTAAGGTTCATGCGCGACTGTGCCCCCATCCAACTGGTCCAACACGCCCATAGCCAAAGTACCATTCAGCTCTTTGGTGATACAGTGATATTTAAGAGTCACGACAAGACACCTCACTGGTTGGCCGTGCTTAGTGACAACAGTCCCTCATTGTCAGTTGCAAGAATTGAATCACACTCACGAGAATTCGAAGGAGCGATGTGGTGTCAATTCCACATATGCGAGTGTTTTTTTGGAGCGCTCCGTTTTTTTTAAGTTGCTGTTAAAAGCAAGCCGACATGAAAATACATATCTTTTGTCCGAATGTTTCCTGAAGTTTCGCACAAACCGCCAAGCTATGTCCAAATACCTCATGGACACTCAAGGGTTCAAGGTATTTGGCCCCCCTTGGAGGTCCAAAAACAATTCCCAAAGTCACAACACTCGCAGGATCTCTTTCCGCTTGCATGCGGAATCCTTCACTGAAAATTTTTAGCAATACTGTGACCAGGAACCCAAGGCCATGAAAGCTGTTCATAGGTTCCGTGCGCAGGCTGTCCTTCTCAATGGCAAAGCGCCCCTATCTTGATACATTCCCTGGGATACGCCTGCAGCATTGCCGGCCGGTGCCAAGGAGAACTTGCAGAAGGAATCAACAGCTCGGGAAGCGGCCCGATTGCAAGCTGATCGGCAGGTCGTTTAAATTTCCGGAGCCCCCTTTGAAGCTGAGCCAAAACGAGGTTGTTGAAGCAATAGCGGCTGGAAGTTAGAACAGCTGGCTCCATTTTGGGTATGGGTCAAAACAATGCCGCCAGGGGACGGCAGGTTGTAGTCATTGTTTCCATTTACTAGGGCAACCCGTTTCGGGGTTACCCTATTTTTGCCCCACACTCATTTTGGGTGGTTCCCCTTTGGAGGGTTGGAATTGTCTGTAGAAGGTCTCGGCCATCCTGCATGTCGCCAAAAAAAAGCGCGAGAGGCACGCCAGCGGTGGCAGGAAATGGTTGTGGGTCAAAACCAATGGGATCTCATTTTGGCTGGTAGGTGCCCCACCCATTTTAGAACCTATTTTAGTGGGGGGTTGGGATGTTCACTGGGGGTACGGGCTTTTGACCCATGGCCAAATGACGGTCAGAGCCAATGCCCAGAACCCTTGGCATTCCGTTATTTCCGTTTCTACTCGGAGGCTATGGATCGTGATTTTGAAGGCGGACACTTGCAGGAATCGTCGCAAGCACTCTTGGTGAAATCATGCCAAAGACATGTGGCTGCTGCTTAGAAGAAGAACGGGTCGAAACGCATGTGGGAGAGGCGTTCTCAGCGCCTAAACTTTTTTTGTGCCTGGGCCCAGCAAGAGAGTGGCTGAAGTTGTTGCCAGACTGCGTATTTGAAATGAAAGAGGGCTCGAAGGTGTTGGTAATATGGAACCTACTGCCATGCTTGAATTCACAGGGTTTCCAACTGGTTCTCTTGCAATATTTCGGGCATCTCGAATTCGCAAGCTGTCGAGGGGTTGCGAGCGGGCGTCGCCTGGCCTCAACGCTCTCGAGGCAAATGATCAACCAGATTCCATGGGTTTGAAGGTATCCGCACATCGGCTTTGCAAGGAAAGCCGCGTGGGAGCAAAACAAAAAACAAGGTTTTATACAAGGCCTCCCTATCTGGGTAATTGCATATCCAAATAGGGTCCGAAGCAAACACGGGCGGATTTTTTTTGGCTTCCCTTGAAACTAGCCTTGTGGGGCTCAAAACGAAGACACCCGCAAGTCAGGATGGTAAACAAATGTTTCGTTTGCAAGGCGACTCACAAGAAGTTCCACGACGTGCTGCAGAAAGAGAAGTCGCTGAGGGAACAGCACCACGGCCACGTGCAGGAGATTTCGATGCAATTCGATGCATGACGTACTTCTTTGCAGGGACTCCCAGGAATCTAGCGGATTTCACTAAAGCTGCCATTTTGTGGTCAGGGAAAAGTGGACATGGTTGTGGAACATCGGGTGTTGCCGGTTTTTTTGTGATACTAAAGGAAAGTCCTTCACCAGACGGCCCTCTAAGGAAAGGCATACCACGGCCCACGGTCTCCCCAAACAGGGTTTCTCTTTTTGGGTTGTATGTGCCGCAGGATTTGATTGGCAAAGAGAGGGCAGCGCGGCAACAGATGGAGGCACGCGCCGTGCAGAGTGGAGCTGTGTCATTCCTGTTGCTACACTCGGACACTTCCTAGGTCCCCCAGTAGTGCCCTTCTCTCCCCCATCTTGGGGGAGGGTTCCCCTACTAAAATAGACTGCAGAAAAGAATCGGGTACCCTAATTCTAAGCTCTCTACTGGAGGACCTGGCTTCCGTTCATGGCTTACACAACCAATTATGGCTTTCTGGTTCACTCTTCGCCAACTGTTTCTTGCATGGCGCATTTTTGTTTGGCATGTGCTGGCGTGGCCTCCGAAACTTCTTTGCTTCCGATTGCTTAGCACTTATGCGGAGAACCGTGAAGCGCCAAAATCTGACTCATGTTGGCTGCTGCACGACATGGAAGACACGGCCCGGCATTCGTTGGTCTTGCTGCCTGGCACAATCCCTGCCTTCACTCACCAGGATCAACTTTTTCTGGAAACCAGGTTTGACAATTGCCCACCGTTTCACTGGCCGCCTGTCCTGGATCCATTCGCGCTTGTTCGCGGGTGTGTGTGTGTGTGTGTGCCTCTACACAAGGACCCCATCCCCAAAAATGGGTTGTTTCCTTCGGATCCCCTTGAAATCATTTCGACCGGTACCCTGAAAAAGTCCACATATTTCGACCCGCGCCTCCGGGAGTTTGTTTTTGAGTCCTTGAGACCATCTTGGCACCGAACTTCAACGCGAAGGCTAGAACATTGGCAGGTTGTTTGGGTGTGGTTCTTTTTAGGGCCATGGCTTTGGTTTCTCCCTGGAGCTTTCCAGTGGCACCTCCAAATTTAGGGGTACCAACTCCCAAAAATGAGACGCCCTTTTTGATTTCCTCCTAAAAGGTCAGGGAACCGAAGGTTGCATCAGTTCCTTCTGGGATACTCATTCCAGCTCCCAGGGTTTACCCCAACTTAAACCCGGCGGTAGGGAAGATCACTGGTGTTAAAGTCCACCTTGGTTCAATGGAACCCAAGTTGCGGTTCCAGCTCTGGTGACGGCTGCCTCGCTGCTTTGGAGGGGCTTTCTGTTTCCAACCAAAAGCGTTTCTTTTTCTCCCCCATGGAATCCACTTTGGCGTTTTTTTTTTTAGTTGGTGCCCCTTTTTTGGTGATTTCTTTTGGGAGACCAAAAGGAACACCTCAGCCGATTTGAAGAATTGAAATAGTTCCCCCAAAACACCAGGTAATTTTTGTCAACCATTGTGAGGACGGGGTTCCCCCCAAACGGGCAACACCATGTCGACCATTTTGAGGAAGTGGTTCCTTAACAGGAACCCCACCTTTTCTGTGAATTTGCCCATGGAGCCCCGCCCGCCTTTTTTGTTTTTCTTCTTCTTTTTCTCCGCTTTCCGAGGAGCTCCTGAACCGTGAGACGCAGGAACGGACCAAGCACCACGAGACCCAGTCAGAGTTGGAGCGGAACCCAAAACGGGTTCGTTTCGGGTCGCCCCAAAGGGAAGAATACTACTACTACCATGCAATGGGTCTACATGTTGGATGACTTTGTATGCAAAGATTACGCGACTCAAAGAATGCCTTTGAAGACTTAAACCCTTTGGAGTCCAAACGTTTTTGGGGACTTTGGGAAGTCTTGGGGCAGTCTCTGTCTGTTTTTGGAGTCTTCCATAATTAGGCCCCGTTGAAAAGCGGCAGCCCATTTGAAAGGCGGCGCACGGCGGCAGGGGTTGGGTCAGAGGGAAACCAGAAGGACCGAAGCCATTGGAGAGTCCTAAGTCTATGAGACAACATGTGCTGGCGCGAAGTTTTCTTTGTAATGTTCGCCGGGTTAGAGATGTTTGACTCAGCCGTCAGAGCTTCGCTTGCGCGTGGCAGAGCTGTTTCTTTGGTTCCAAACGGCTCCGTCAAATCAATGAACCACTTCGCACCATTTGGCAATGGGGCACAACCTATGGCTCCATATTGGGGTGGATGAACATCCATTTGCCACCTATTTTGATGTTCACCAGGGGTACAGCGTTTTGACCCACAGCCATTTGAGATGAGTGGTTTATCAAACAGATTTCAACTCGGGCTTCATCCCAACTGCTGTGCCCAATTTTACCCCACCAAGTGTAGAGTAACGAAAAACAACTTGCTGTCGCTCAGTAGGGAATGACTTTCCGGGTCTTGGGAATGAACCTAGGGATTTTCAAGGAAAACATAGGGGATGGTTTAAATCG